TATCCCCCAGAGAGCTCCCTGCAGGAGGAGGAGGGAGAGGCTGAGAAGGAGAGCGAGGAGGAGGAGCAGGAGGAGGAGGAGGACGAGGAGGAGGGGTCCGGCTCAGATGGGGCTGAGGAGCAGCCCTTCGTGCTCTTCCTGCCTCGAGCCTCGTTTGTGAACAGCGCAGGGCCTGAGAGCCCTCGGCCGCCAAACGGCAGCTCAGGTGAGTGCCCACCTGTTGGGATGGGCGGCTCTGTGGGAGCCTGGGCCACATGTCCACGCATCCACACATCCACCCATGTGCCACTTGGCCTGCAGGCCTGTCCAGCTACACTCCAAAACACTCCATGGCCTTCAGCAAGTGGCAGGAGCAGACGCTGGAGCAGGCTCCGAGTGAGATGGAGCCACCGTCCAAAGAGGTCATGGTGAGCAGGGCGGGGCAGGCAGATGCCCAGGGCGGGGGTGGAGGGGGGGGTCTTTAAAGTCTGGACGAGCCCCTTTGGCTGCCTCTGTGCCTTTCTCTTTCAGCTCACCCCTGCCAGCCAGAACGACCTCTCGGACTTCCGAAGCGAGCCAGCCCTCTATTTCTGACCCCGGCCCTACCAGGATGGGCAAGGCTGAGCCCCAGGGGTGGGGCCCTGGGAGTTGGGCAGTGCCTGAGAGCACCACACTCATTCTGCACCCGCCCTCCCCCACCACCCTGACCTGCCAGGCCCTGCCTTCCCAGCTCCCACTCTCTCTTCCTGAGGTCTCAACCAGGCTAGTAGTCAGGACTTGAGCCTTAGGAACCTGGCACAGCTTCTTCCTATGGGGCTGTCTGGGTCTCGTTCCCTGACCCTCGTTTGGGGACACTGCCTGTGAAGGAGGGATGGGGTCCTGCTAGACACCGTGCCCAGTGGCTGTCAGGTGTGTCCAGGGTGGGGGGCTGACCCGGCTGCCTGTCCTCTGTAGGACTGCAAGGCCCCAGCCCACACCCCCAGCATGAGCCACTCCGCTTCTGGTGAACGGGAAGTCTTCCCGCCTCTGCTGATGGACTCAATAAACAGCACTGGACGAGGCTGCCTCCACCTTCCCTGCATGTTCTTCAGGTTGAGAAGGGGGAGCAGGAGTGGGGTCTGCTGGGCAACATGGAGGCACTGGCAGTGGGGAGGAGGCCACCCACACGGTGTGATGGAAGCCTAGCTTGCACTTCTGTGCCCGGGGGAGCCTGCCCCCAGCAGCTCGCAGCCCCAGTAGTCCAGGCTCTCCCCACCCCCATGGCCCTAGATGTCCTGCTTCCCTTCCCAGCCACCCGCTTGGCCGGAATAGGGACCTCATTGTGCCTGCCCTGTGAGCATCCCCAGGCTCTGGGGCTCCCCTTGTCCCCTATAGGTGGAGCTGTGGTTGGGCCTGGAACTGCATGTACAGGGGCCTAGGCTCTAGGTAACAGGGATGGGAGTGCAGGCCAAGAGCCTGGGAGTGGATCGAGAAGGTGGGCAGAGCCTCTGGGATCTTGCCTCCGGGATCAGAAGGTTCCCTTGCCCACAGGAGCCTGTGGGAAGGCTGTAGCAGGCAGACCACTCCCCTGGGGTTGTACTAGCCTGGAAATCTGATGAATTTGGAGAGGTGACAAGACAGAGCTGCCTGCTAGGGACCTGGTGCCTGGCTGGGCTGGCTGCGTCTGGAGACGTTCTCAGCTGCCTGTGCAGAGCCAGGCTGCTTACAATCTGAGCATTGGATACAGGTCTTTTCCTCTTGGAGAGTCAGGCCCATGGGAGATGCCACCTGGCCAGGCTTGGGAGGGAGCACATTTTCCTGGGAGGGATGGGCCCAGGTTTCTCCAGACCCTCTCAGCCAATACATACTTCCCAATCCGCCTGGCCCAGCTCCTGCACCGCCCAGACCATGGTGGTAGGAACCCCGTGGGTGCCAACAGGTCAAGACAGATGGACCGAGAAGTGACTCAGGATGGGGGGCTGAGCCCCAGGCTGCCTGGGAGGCAGGCACAACCGGGGAGGCTGCTGTGCTGTCTCGCAGAGTCGAGTCTGGAATCACAGAGCTGGGGAGCAGCCCTTGTTGGAGGACTTGAACCCAGGAAGAGCCTCTCCCTGAGCCAGGCTTCCTGCAGGACACCAGGGCATGGCAGGGAACAGGACCAGTGGCCCTGGCAGGGAAAGACAGTGGGTGATGAGGGTCACAGGAAATGCTTAGGGGCACCCTTAGTTCTGTCCTCAAGGCCAGCAAGGCCAGTCACAGGGAAAGCCACTCCAGGCGCCCCTCTCCCCTCCCAGGAGCTGCACTGTAGCTAGGTAGGGGTTCTGGGTCTGGGGGTGTCTGGCACACTCCTGACACAGGCAGCAAACCAGCACAGGTCTTTACAAACACAACTTTTATTGATAAGTCACATGCCCCGAGGGCAAGCTCTCAGGTGAAGGAGGGCCCCAGCCTGTCCCCCATTGACCTAGGCACTTGCTGGCTGAGGAACAAGATGAGGGGCCTCCTATGGTGCTGAGACTAGAAGCAGGTTCTTCCTTGCAGCCCAAGGGAGTGTGGGGGCCTCAGAGAGGCCCTGAGTAGGGCTGACCCAGAACCTGTGTGAGTGTGGGGCCAGGACCCCCCACTTGCTGGGCCACACCAAGGGCTTTCTTGTCACCCAGAGCCAGTGGAGGTTGGCAGCTGCCTCTGGCAGCACTGAAGACACCAAGGGAAGGAAACTGCTGCCATGAGGGACAGAAGCTTTGAAAACACTTTCTGGGGGTTGACTACAGTGGAGGTGGGCCCTCCATCCGGGGCCCATCAGCTGTCCTTGCCTCCACTGCTCTTCTGCTCTGAGGCTGTGGCCTTGGTCAAGTTTCCTGCTTCCCTCTTCAGGACACTGAGCAGGGTCTGCGAGCTCTCCAGGATCTGAGAACAGAGACGTGAGACAGCTGTCACTGTTCCTCCTGTGGGAAAGCTCTGGAGTCCAGCCCTCATCCTATGCTGTGCCAGGGGACAGCAGGACAGGGTCTGTGGGACAAGGAAGCCTGAAGGGACGGGCGGACAGGGTCTGCAAGGCCCTTTTCCCTTTGAGTCTAGCTCAAAGTCCCTTCCTTACACTTTGGAAAGCCAGGCCCAGGTTGGCTCTGGCTCCTGCTGCCACTCTGTTGCTCAGTGTCTGGAAGGAGTGATGTAGTAACAAGCATGGTGCAAACAACAGGACCCGGGCCACACTGACAGCCATGCTATATCTGTCACTCCACAGTGGGCCTATGGCCTATGTGGGGGCGCCCCAGGCCAGAAAGTCTTGAGGGACTCTGCCCAGCATGCAGGCCCCCAGCCCCACCTTGAGGTAGGCTGCCTCTGTCTCCGCAATGGTCCGATCAAACTCGTTCCGAGAGGCGATCTTGCGAGCCAGGTTCTCGTTGACTCGGGCCAGCTTCTCGGTCAGCTGTCTCACTTCATTCTGCAGCCGCTGCTTCTCATCCTCCTCCTGCTGGATCTGCCGGCACAATTCTTCCCGCTTCTGACACAGCTCCTCAATGCCTAAGGTAGGCCGAGAAGGGCACGCGCTGTGGGCCCAGGGCTGGAAGAACACCACCCCTCCCACTCTGGAGCCCACCGCTTTGTGGGGAAGAGGATAGTGGAGGGCCTCGGTGCCAGCTGGGCCACCTTCCGCCCGAGCCAGGCCAGTGTCCTACGTCCCGGGGTCTCGGGGTTAAAGAAGGCACCGCACGAGACCGCGGGCGCGGGCCCGGGACGCCGTGCGTGCTCACTCTCCAGATACCCAGCACTCGGGGCGGGCCACGCTGTGGCTGTGCGCTGGACAGGGCCAGACGGCGTCCGCGCCGCCCCGACCGGGACACCCACGCACGGACCGTACAACACGCCAGACCGCGCGCTGCGGGCCACCTACTGCTCAGGCCCGCAAGCCGGCGAGCCCCACTTCCTCCCAGTCTGCCCGGTGGGCCCCGCCGCGCGGCTGCTCACACTTGACCAGCTCGTTGTTGTAGTTCTGCAGCGCCGCGCCCTGCTGGGTCATGGTCGTCGCCCGGGGTCCCGTTCCCTCCAACCGCCGCTACCGCATCGCTTCCCGCGCACGCGCACGGGGGTGACCACGGCTGACGTCACCGTCGCGCGCCTCTCGCGTGCGTCATCGCTGTGCGCGCGCGCCCAGGCCTGCGTCATCACCGCGCGCCACGCCGGGAGGCTCTGGGAACTGGTGGGTGCAGATGGCGGCGGCGGTGGAGGAGGCGTCTGCTGAGGCGCACGACGACCCCGGGCCCGCACAGGAACTGCTGGTGGCCTGGAATACCGTGAGCACCGGGCTGGTGCCACCGGCCGCACTGGGACTGGTGAGGCCCGGGAAGAGGGCGGCGGGTTCATACGGCTTCCTCCGTCGTCCGCTTGTCTCGCCTCCTCTCTTTACGGTCCCTCCGTGTTCGACAGCCCTTCCCTAGCGTCGGCTCTGCATCCGTGCGAGCAAGGGCAGCGGGGTTTCCGCAGCCTCCCCTTCGCTCCGTCTCTTCCTCGCCTCTCCCCACCTGTCACCGCCCTCTCCACCTCTGCGCTGTATTCCCTTCTCCCCACAGTTTTCTGTACTCCAGGCATCCTCCCGGACCAGCGGCGCGGTCCCTCCAAAGGAGGAGGAGCTCCGGGCGGCGGTGGAGGTTCTCCGAGGCCACGGTCTGCACTCGGTCCTGGAGGAGTGGTTCGTAGAGGTGCTGCAGAATGACCTGCAGGCCAACATCTCCCTAGAGTTTTGGAATGCCATCTGCCAGCGCGAGAACTGTGCAGATGAGCCCCAGTGCCTTCTTCTGCTCCTTGATGCTTTCGGTCTGCTGGAGAGCCGCCTGGATCCCTACCTGCGGAGTCTAGAGCTCCTGGAGAAATGGACTCGCTTGGGCTTGCTGATGGGCACCGGCGCTCAGGGGCTTCGGGAAAAGGTCCACACCACGTTGCGGGGCGTCTTGTTTTTTTCCACTCCCAGAACTTTTCAGGAGATGATCCAGCGTCTTTATGGGCGCTTCTTGAGAGTTTATATGCAGAGTAAGAGAAAAGGGGAAGGAGGTACAGATCCAGAACTGGAGGGAGAACTGGACAGCAGGTATGCCCGCCGCCGGTACTACCGCCTTCTGCAGAGCCCCCTGTGTGCAGGCTGTGGCAGTGACAAACAGCAGTGCTGGTGCCGCCAGGCGCTGGAGCAGTTCCACCAGCTCAGCCAGATCCTGTGAGTACTCACACCTGCGTGGCTAGGCCCCTGTTCCTCCTGACTCCGCCTTGCTCTTCTGGGCCCAGCTGGCCTCTGTGGAGAGCTGGTGAGACAGGTGGCAGAGCTGGGGGTCTCTGCTGCTTGTCGTGATAGCCAGGAGCATGACAGAGGGAGAGTCCTCAGCATCTGTGTGCTGTGAGTTTGTACCTTTTGTCCTGAACACAGGTTGTTTCTGTCTGTCACACTAGCTCAGAGTTCCATATTTTGCTGGCACTTAGATTTAAGGGCTTCAGACTTAGATTACATGATTCCAAGTTTCTTGGGTCTTGTAGAATTCTGCTGTGCTTTTTGTAGTTTTTGGGTGGAGAAATGATATTTATTCTGTTCTGTAATTGTAAAAAGGGGCTTGCTATTTCTTTTGTCTAGAGCAAGTCAGAAGTTAGACCAACATGTTGGATGAACAGGTTGCCCTTCTGACCTCTTGAGGAGGAAAGGATTTTGCTGTTAGAGTCGGGTTGTGTTGTGCGGTCCCTCTGCTGCCTGACCACGTGTGATGGTTTTGTCCCATTGAGTG